AAGAAAAACAAGCAGTGCGCAAATCCCTTGGGCTCCTAGACAAAGGATGTTATATAAGCCCAGAGTGAAAAACCAACCCAAGGTGCCACCCAGGTGTGACATTTGATCTACACAGACCAGCTGTGAAAGCTCTTACAGAGCCCAAGTTCTGACCATTCAGGAGGAAGTGAGGGACGGCTTCCAGTCCAGTCAGGTGGTACTCTATCTACCACCCCTAGAAAGCTTTGCTGCCTCCTCCATGAAGCCCTCTTGACTGTCCCAAGCAGACTCAGATACCAGGATGTGACCTCATTACACCTGGCATGTGTCATCACTGTAGTGATACTATCTGTTCTCATGACTTCTCCCACTAGCTTATGAGCTCCCTTCAAGAAGCGTTTGTCTTTTCATCTTTAGATGCCCAATACCTAGCAAATAATAGGTGTTCAGTAAATATTGTCTGAATATGTGCTATAGATATAGTGTTTCTCCAAATATGAAGCTGGTGTGACCACAAATGACTTCCATTAGGTAACATGCCTTTCCAAAGTTTTCAGAGGAGCTACAGAAATAAAAGTTATGTTCTAATTTTATAGAATGATCCTCTACCATAAGTGTTAAAATGTCTGATAATACTGCTGTATCCAAGGCTGAAGCAACTTTGTGTAACTACCAAGGATATTTAAATCTACCCCCAAAACATCCAAATCAGTATCAGATTGGCTGACACTCATTTGAAAAATCAAATAAGGTACAGGCACCTATGTTGGGCAGATGCATTGGGGACTGTCCTACTGGGGCTGTGGTGGGGGCAGAGTTATATCTTTTTAAGTTTGATAGGAAATAGAATAGAAATAGAAAGTGAAATAGAAAGTGCACGCGCACGCGCACATGTGTGTGTTTAAGTAGGCTCCACACCCAAAGTGCGGCTTGAACTCACAACCCTGAGATCAAGAGCTGCATGCTCTACTGATTGAGCCAGCCAGGCACCTCTGAAATAGGGTTTGAATATCTTCTACAGGTAACATAAAAATCATAGCTTAAAATTTGTTTTCTAAAACTACTCCAAAGATACATATTTTGCCCACTCTGACCTTTCATCCTCCTAAATCACTGGATCTCCTAGGAGTTCCTGCAGAATCTAGCATCTCCCACCCACTAGGAGGGGGAAGGAGAGGCTATGCAAAGGCATCACATGTCAGGTTCCCCTCCTGGACACATTCTAATTGTTGTCAGACAAAAATGTTTTCCTATTTGACTAGAACCTGGTCCCTCCTTCACTAACCAGGCTAGGAGGGTGGAGGCCTGGGCAGCCTGGATGATGTTCTGGCACAGAAGGACTACTCAAGAAATGCCTGCCGAGCTGGGAATAAAAGATATATATGACCAGGCATGAGTGCACACACACCTCTCTAGATCCCTTTTTAAATCTACCCCCAAAACATCATTCTCATGACTTCTCCCACTAGCTTATGAGCTCCCTTCAAGAAGGGTTTGTCTTTTCACCTTTAGATGCCCAACAAACAACGTGTGTGTGTGTGGGGGGGTGTGGTGGTGGGGTATTACTCATAATATTTAACAAGAAACTGGTTGACTATCAAAACAAGGACCTGTGTTGTGCCTGCAGTTTAGAGCTTTTGCTGAAAATTCCTTTTCTGAATGGAGAGAGAATGCAGATATCCTGTAGGCTTGGTCAGAGTGGGCCAGACCCAAGTCCATCAGATCAGGTTAGGAGTGAGGGAGGAATGAGCAGGAGACAAAGCATACATGCTGAGTCTGGAGTCCATTACAGAGGGCAGGGCCTCAGTGAAAAGAGACCCTTCCAGAACCTAGAGGAAAAGGCCTCAGAACTGGCAGAGCTGGAGCACTGCAGGGCAAGACCTAGGTAATGACCTGCCCCCATTAACTTCTTGCCTCAGCCCGTTTCCTCATCAGTAAAATGGAGATAAAAACATCCACCCTCACAGAGAGTGGGAAAATTAAATGACACAATATACACGGTGCCTGGCATTTCGCAAATGACCAACAAACATGTCTCATCTATGTCTTCAAGACTACTGGGCCAGGAAAATGGACTTGAGACACAGAGCTCATGCTCTCTGCTCCCACTTGTGGCAGGTGCACTCAATACCGATGCTCCTTTCCACTCCAGTGGATGCAGATTTAGAATCCTTCTCAACACAGCCGTTGGGCAGCCACATGGTTTAGTGATGACTTAAAACTGTCCTCAGGTCCAGGGGTCCATCTGGGCAAGGGCAGGACAGGTGTTTTACAAAGGTTTCCGCAGTAAACATGGAAAACTAGACTTGAGGACAAGGAGCTTCAAGGGTAGAAAATGTAGTTCTTGGGACATAAGGCAAAGCCCAGAGCTTCAGGACACATGAGCATCCATTAACTGCAGCCCTGAGTCACAGCAGCTCTGGTTGGATTAAGCCTAGGAGCCTGGAGCTCAAACTATTCCCTCCAGGTTTGAGTCCAGAGATGGAACCCACGCGGAAACATGGGCAAAGGTTTAAGAGTCCTCAGCAAGAAGGGGACAGGGAGGAGGAGACTCCCCTCTGCCGTACTTTTGAGCATTTCCAAGGTTTGAGAGTCCCAGGTCACCGGCCCTGAAGGGATGCTGCTCACTCTCCTGTGGGAGGGGTGAAATTTCCAGTCCAGACTCTCAGATCTTTTGTGACTTAAGTGGAAAGAATTCTTTTCCTCCCCTACCAGTATTTCTCTTTCTTTATACTTTCACATACCATGACAACAGCAAAGAAAAGATGCTAATGGAGTTGCAGCAAGGTCTGGCTACTGACAAGCTGTGTGGCCTCGGCCAAGTGGCTTAAAACTCAAATTGAGGGAGCTGGCCAGGTACCTTCCAAGACCCCTTCTTCCCTCTGTTATCACATCACAGAGGAAGGAACGGTCCATGAGAGGAATTGATTTGTTACAGATCAAAACTCTTCCTTACCTCTCTTCCTACTATTTCTTTCTAGTCAACTACTTGATCACCACCTGGCCTCAACAGCCTCCCCAGAATTATCAACCACATTGTTTTCTCCAGCAGAGCAGCTACAGATATGATAAAAGTGTAAGCCGCTTGGGGATGGGGTGGGGGAAAAGGGAGGGGGTGGTGTCACTAAACATTCAGACTAAAACATTGGTTTCTAAGAAAATCAAATCAATTTTGACTTTTGGTAACTCTTGCAATTTCTGCCTGTCTCCTCCTTAGGTATGCTGCCTAAGGCATTCTCTGGATTTATTCTATCCCTAGGACAAGGATTTAAGGCACGAGAGGCGAATCATATGCTAAAGCATTAGCAGAGCTGCAAAGCTGTTTTGCAAGTAAAAAGGTTATCCTTTCTTTTCTGGAGAAAGACATTTCTTATATGCTGCTCCAACTGGGGGTGGCAGGGGTAGGAAACAACCCAGAACAGAGATGAATTAGGGTCCTGGAAAAACACTTTTCCATCCAGCCTGCAAGGTTATTACCAGAAGTAAAGACAAATGAGAGTTTTACAAAACAAAATCAGAACATTCTGGATAAAAACTGTGAGCAACTTTAAAATTCCCCATGTTATTACAAGAGAAATCACTGACAACTCCAGAGTTGTACAGAGTATTTCACCAGCTCTCCCTCAGCCCCATACCCACTTTCTCACTTTCCTTCACCTTTCAGACACATATAGTTCTCCATCCAATGGTCCATCCCGCTCACTACCTGGTATTCATCAGGAATCACAAACTTAACATGTCTAAATCCAGACCACCCACCACCACACTGTCCCCGTCTCAGTGGATGGTATCTACGTCCATCCATGAGCTCAAGTCAACAACCCCAGAGCCTTCCTATCTCTTCCATCGCTCCCACATTCCAGACCTGATCCATCTGGTCCACAGCAAATTCTGTTGACTCAGCATTCAAAATATACCCTTTACTTCTTACCCTTCACAGGTACCACCCTGTAGGTCCACACCACCATCACTGTTCTTGCTTGTATTATTTCAGTCTCCCCACTCCCACTCTTGCCCTCAGTCTATTCTCAGATGAATCTTTTTAAACACAGGTCACATCATGTTGCATCTCTGTTCAGAACCTTCCAGTGCCTCCTCATTTCAGAGTAAGAAACTCCTTCTTTCATGCAGTGGTGCATGAAGCCTACATGATCTGGCCCTTCACTCTTCCATGATGAAGCTGCTTTCTTGATGTCCCTCAACTGTATCAGACATGCTCTGCCCCAGGGCCTTTGCACTGGGTGATCCTTTCCCTCTAGGTCTGCATGGTTTACTGCCTCCCCTCCCTTGGGTTATCATGCAAATGTCACATCCTCAGTGAGACCTTCCCTGATCAGAAGTGACCCCATTCTTTCCTTTACTTTCTTCAAAGCACTCATCACCTTCCCTGCACCAAAATGTCTGTTTTGTTCACGGTGCCTGGCACATAGCAGGTGCTCAATATTTGTTGAATGAATGAATGACATTTTCACCTTAAGTCTCCATACAGGGCTCACATATTATTTTATTAAGTGTCAACTTCCAGATATCTCCGAAGTCCCACCTTTCAACTCGAGCAAAACCTACAGTCCAAGATTTCTCATCATCACAAAACTGGTATTTGATGGATTTTCTTTTCACCAGTCTGTTTATAGCTCTTTTCCTATGGAAAAGAAAACTCTCATCCCTCTCTCTGTCCTGTCCACTTCCAAGCCTCTCCGTCAACCCGCTTCACCAGACATCTCTTTAATACATGAGCACTTTCAATGACAAATACTGTTTTCTGTGATATACAGACACACCTACAACTGTTTCAGAAAGCAGACAAGGAACTCTGAAGTAGTACTACAGAACTATTCATCTTTACTATACATCTTAAAAAAGATATGTATTAGTTTAAAAAATATATATATGGGGGAGGCTCGGTCCAACCATGCAAAACCACATGAGGGTCATGCAAAACTCAGTGTTTATTAGCAATGCCAAGTGTCCTGATTCTTCGGATATAAAAAGAAACTAAAACCTGAACCATTAGAAAGTACCCAGAAGGGTGCCTGGGTGGCTCAGTTGGTTAAGCGACTGCCTTCGGCTCAGGTCATGATCCTGGAGTCCCAGGATCAAGTCCCACATCAGGCTCCCTGCTCAGCAGGGGGTCTGCTTCTCCCTCTGACCCTCTTCCCTCTTGTGCTCTCTGTCTCTCATTCTCTCTCTCTCAAATAAATAAATAAAATCTTTAAAAAAAAAAAGAAGAAAGTACCCAGAAGACCTGCAGACTTTGCAACAAATTTCCATTTAGTGATTTCAAAGGCAGAAAACTTATTACTTGAGGGGCTGTTTTTTTTTGTTTGTTTATCTGAAACTATAACAGTTGTGATTGTTTTGAAGTGCTCTAAATGGTTTCAGAATTTGGGGACAGTAATTTGGCCTTTTGCAAATACATAAATTTCTAAAATACAACTCTGAAACAAGCACCTCTAAAATAAAAAGCAATTCTTCCTTCCCTTGATTTGCCATCATTCCGGTTATTTGCCTTTCAAACATCTCAGTGCCTAGGGGTCCTCCTGTAGAATACAGAAAGACATCCTTTTACCCTCAATCCCTGCTCACTACCCTCAGACTTGTACATCCTTTAAAGTAGCGACCCAGAGACTTGTTTTGTTTTTGCTCCAGCGTCTTCCAGCTTCCTCTCCTTCCTTTCTTTCTATAACTGATTCCCCATCTCATTAGGCTACGTATGTACTCCTCAGCCTCCTTCAGGGCTCAGCTTTCCATCCCACTGAGACTTGGAGTTGCAACTCATCCCTCGGGGCTCACTGGGCACAGATGGACACCTCCACCAGGAGCTGAGGGTCGATACCAGCAGCCCCGACCCAAGCTAATTATCACTGCCCCCACAGGAGATGGTGACAAGCACTTCATCACCTCAAGCCGCCCAGCAAGCCCATCAGACACTGAGCAACCCCAGTCGCCTCATCACCAATCACCTTCAGGAGCCATCAACTCGCTACTTTATGTCCCACAGTCTTCCACAATGTGCAAATGAGCTGGCCTCCGAGTAGCATTGCCTTGCAGTCACTCTAGGTCCTGGGCCCCACAGGACACCTCCAGCCCAGCACCACACTGTTTCCCCGTGTTCCCTCCTCTTTGTGTAACTTGGCAATTCCTATTTTTTTAAATGTTTTTAAAGATTTTATTTATTTATTTGTCAGAGAGAGTGGGGGGAGAGAGAGAGAGAGAGCACAAGGGGGCAGGGCAGCAGGCAGAGGGACAAGCAGGCTCCCCGCTCAGCAAGGAGCCCGGTGCGGGACTCAATCCCAGGACCTCGGGACCATGACCTGAGCCGAAGGCAGACGCTTAACCATCTGAGCCACCCAGGTGTCCCAGCAATTTCTATTTTTATATTTGAAGGGAGATGGGGAGAATTAAGATATTTAAGTACTTATAATAGTCTCTCATCTAGTTGCTCAGTAAGAATGGCAGTTTGTGCCAAGCAAAAGAACTTACTTATAATCACGTTCCTAACAGGAATCTGTGTTTTGGGGATAGTGGAAGATTGGTGTTCATAAAAGACGATGATGTGGTGCAGTAGAGATGCCTGGGCCCATCCATCACAAGTTCTCCCCTGAAATGCCCCACTCTGGCCCTTCTCTGTAGGCCCCCAGCTCTCACTGTGGTCCTGCTTCCCATCTCTCTCTCCTGCAGCATGGCATCCATCACCCCGAGCTTGCTCACCTCCACCCCTTCTCCACCTGCAGCCACAGAGACCTCTCACTTTCCTTCCTAGCCCCCTAAGAGTCAGGCCTCCCTGGCCTTGCCTCTGTCACTCTGTTCATCCCCACCCCCATCCCTACTCCATACTCTGCCTACTCTCTCTCCTTCTCTTCCCCTCTGGGATTCTACATGCCACTCTCTTGCCCTCAAACTCTACTCACCTTTCACATCCCAACTTAAACGTCATTTCCTCTGGGAGACCTTTCCTGACCCTCCAGTTGAAGCCCCTTATTCAGGACCTCTTATAATTATTTATCTAATTGCCCACCTCTTCCAATAGATTGCAAGCTGTGGAGGACAGACGAGATTTTGCCTATCCTAAGCCCTGCAGAATCCACACACCTAGCACAAAACCAACATAGGGAAGACATTTAATAAATATTTTTTGAGGGAAGCAATAAGTAAATGGTGGTATCTAGGGATAGAACAGGTTGTACTTGGAAGAAGTATGAGTGGTGGGGGTAAGTGCACAGAACTAGTGTGTGTGTGGGCGGGGGGAGGTGTGTGCCAGAGATAGGAACTGTGACAACAGCTCAAGGGCCACGAGAGCTCTTCTCAGCAGATGGGACACATGCTCAACCTTGTCACATCGTGTCCCCCAAGAAATCAAGCCACTGCTATAGCCCAGCTAGTGTCAACCATCAGCCTCCATCTGTAGAAACCTTGCCTCCCACAGAAAACAGGTTTGAGCCTGAATCACCCCGTCTGCCCAGAAAGCAGTCATGGAGTTAAGAGCTTCCAGGTGAGGGAGGGAGGGAAACATCTCATCAGTGACTCTCCACTCCCAGACACTTTCCTCGGTGACACTTCCTCAGCCAGGCTACCTCCTCCTGGCAGGTATGTTCACTGTTGAGAGCCAGAGAATCTGCCATCTTAAGATGACTGCAGGAGGCGGGAGGAGAGCTACATATGCTGTCAGTGGGGCCTGAAGCCAGGCTCCAGCCCATCCTGGTATGTCTGTCTGTGGCCCAAAGACACACACGTTCATAGCTTCCAAGTCAGGTCTCCTGGGAAGACTAAGCGGGCTTTGCCAGAATGCTAAATTTTTGCTTAGATGATCCTTACATCTTCTTTCTTAGATGCTCTGCTGGCCATGCCTCCCTGGCTGACATCAGGGACAGCCCGAATGTAGGGAACATGGGTGAAGATGTATGTTCTTTTTCAGACCTTTTGTTCCTGACACATATCAGGGCCCAAATCTAACTTTGAGAGCATTCTTCTACATTATGAAGCTCTATTCGGGATGTTTTTAATTAAGAGGGAAAATCTGAAAACACTGAACATTTACACAATAGTGTATTTCAAATCTTTTTAGTAACTTTATCTTATTTGCTGTAAGTTACTATACGATTCCCTCCTTTGCCAAAATAATCAAATAACTCCCCAATGAGGAAAAGCAAGCCTAATTTTAGTTCCAAATTACAATGAGATAGTTGTAGGTCAGACTCATTGAAGATGGAAATCGGTAACCCTAGCAAGAACATTGAACACGGCACACCGGTACAGGCGCGGCACTGAACACGGCCCGCCGGTACAGGTACAGGCGCGGCACTGAACACGGCACTGAACACGGCCCGCCGGTACAGGCGCGGCACCGAACACGGCACTGAACACGGCCCGCCGGTACAGGTACAGGCGCGGCACCGAACACGGCCCAGCGGTACAGGCGCCGACACTCGCCAGAGAGCACTCTGTGGGAGGCGACACTCAAAGCACAGTCCAGGCTACAGTCAGCTGGACCTAGAAGAAAGACACAGTGACAACAGTGAAGCTAGTGAAGATGTTTCACTGTGGGTTATTTTAAAAGCAAGACAGCAACATAATCTCATTATGACAGATTATTTTCCCTAAAATGAAGCCAAAAGCACCAAATCATGCTTGTTAGAACAAACCTGTAGTTTTTTAAAGACTTGTTTTTGTTTATAAGTCCTGAAAACTATTTTGTGATGAACTCCACTCTTGAAAAAAGTAACTCAACTTAATACCTATTGAGCTTGCTCACATCTCCTGTGAGTACATGTTTCTGTGCATCCGTCCCTTCCACACCCTGCATCTGGACTCTCTCAAACATGCCTGATATCAACAGACAAATGCCACACTACAGCCTCCGTGGGCACTCAGGGCTCTCCCTTAACTCTTTCCTTCCTTCCCCCATCCCCTGGCTGACCCCAGATCCCTGAGGGCTGAGTCTGACTATATCACAACCATAGCCTCCAAAGCTTTGGGAGCAGGGAGCAGGAGTTCTCTTCCTTCCCCCTGAGGCCTGTGAGTCCAATTTCTACTTCTAAAAGGGCAAAGTCAGAGGGAACAGGTTTAGATCACAGTAACAGGTAAGACATTTATGAAGAACTTCCCAGAATCTCAGGGATCTAGTGGCTTCAGATGTCAGAGGACTGGGGCTTTGCCTATCTTGGTCAGCCACTCAGACTAGTATTTATGAAACATAGGCCCACATCACCAAGCACTCTTGTATAAGATTCTTCTCCAGAAGTGTGTTAAAGGCATGCGTACCTTCCCAGGCAAAGGGATATAGAACATCAGTGACTCTCAAGCTTTTCTTGCTTGAAAATATAATGTTCAGCTCCAGGCCTTAAAGGGAACCCCACTGTGGCTCTTTTTTAAATGGCTCACTTAATGTATGAGAGCTATCATCACACCATCAAAGCAGCCTGTTAACCTACAGAATAATCTTCCTATTGAGCTGAGGCCTCCTGGTGCCCTTTTCCACCACTGTTCACTCATCCAACACACACATACTGAGAACCTACTGTGCCCAGCACCATGCTAGGATCACAACATGCCCTGAGGACCACATGGAGAGCAGGCATCAGATGGACCATCAGTGAACTGGGCACATGAGCCTGGAGATGACATGATGCTTCACAGAAGAAGCCTGAGCAAAGCCTTAAAGCAAGCGTGGGCGTTGAGCCAACTGGGTGAGGGGAGAAAAACACTCAAGAAGTGAGGTTCAATGCAAAGAACCCAGGAGGTGTTACAGAGGGGACCAGGGTTGCCAGGTGGTCAAGTGAGGGCTAGCCTGCAAAAGGGCCTTGTGTCTGGTAAGCAATGGGGAGCCAAACAAGGATTTTAGGCAAGGAACTGACATAGCTAGATTTTGGTTGTTTTTGTTTTTTGGGTTTTTTGGGTTGTTTTTTTTTTTGAGGGGGCATAGAGGAAGAGGGAGAGAGAGAACCTTAAGCAGGCTTCACACCCAGTGCAGAGCCTGACACAGGGCTCGATCTCACGACTCCAAGATCATGACCTGAGCCCAAATCAAGAGGCAGATGCTTAACCAACTGAGCCACCTAGACACCCCAGCAAGATTTTGTTTTTGTTTTAAATCAGAACTCTGGCTGTTGTTCAGAATGGAAGGAGAACAAATGCTTAGGTGGAGGGAGAGGGAATATCCAGGGATATCTCAACTTGGATGTGCACACTCATCACCTAGCGATTGTGCTAAAGTGCAGTCTGTAATCCAGTAGGTCTGGATGGAGTCCAGGATTCTGATTTTCTGGCAATACCCTAGGCAATGCAAATGCTGTGGGTTCTCAGATATTGAGTCACCAGGGTCTTGGGGAGAGAGAATGAAGGTCTGAGGTCAGGCAGAGTCAGTGAGGAAGGGACAGACTCCAGAGGCAGGTACATTTTTCTTCCACTGTTTCACCGCACCTGATTTTCAGAATTAGATCCAGCACAGGGAGGAAAATAGATGAAGGGGTCAGTGAATGGATGAATGAAGACAATGTGCCTTTTAGCACCTTCAGTTAACTTGAGATGGGTCATCAGAGCCAGGGACCAAGGAAAAGCTGCTGCCACCTTTCCCCTGACCAGTGAGATGTGTCTGTTGGATTTGTCCTACAGCGCTGGTCCTTCACTACATCAGTTTGAAGGTTCTACTTTACTGCCCATCAGCATGGGTGTGTGTCTCCTGTGTGGCTGCCTTCTCCTTCCTAAAAGTGAATATAGCTTATCAAAAGGACCAGTGAATTGGGGGTCACATAAGTACCTGGATATCCCCTGGGCTCATCACCTCACTTTCTAGGTCACATTTTTTCTTAGCTATGAAAAGGACTGGACTAAAAAATACCTACAGTCCTCTTTCCATAATCCTATAACCTGGGCTCCACCCTTAGCCTTCTATAGCTCTCCCCTTTGTTCCCAAAGATTTCCTCAGATCCTCTCTACCTCACAGAGTTGGGCTTTACCCCAACTTTCAGCCTCCAGCGACTACTGAAGGAAAAAGCAAATAGTTCACAAAAGAAAAGAAGTTTGGGGAGCACTTTTCTAGAAACACTCCTACCATTGTTTTCATTTCCTTCATTGGTTGTAAAGATTGATGGGTGGGCATGGAAGAATTTCAGTTGGCTGCTTTTTCAAGCAAGCTTGCATTTCCCAGCAAGGGGACATCTCTTTCAACTTGTTCTTCTGACCATGAGTCCCAGCAACAAATACCTCTTCTGGTCATTCAGACTGAGGAAAGGAAGTCTGACACCACAGTCTTGCTGGAAGGGAAACTGAGGTATAAAAGAAGTTCCCCTCTTGGGAAAAATCAGGGCACAATCGGGGTTTCTTACTCCTGGTGTTCCTTCTTTTATTCTCTACCTCAGAAAATTTCACCAAATTATTAAAATACTCATTAATATAATAACTTCAGTCTCTTAAAAGGCCTAGTCCACCGTGGGGCCAAATTCAAACATGTTTGTAAAAAGTGACTTAAGTAACCTTTTTTTAAAATCAAGATATAGCTGACATATCTGTATAGAATAACATTATATTAGTTTCATGTGTTACAACATAAGGATTCAATATATGTACGTGTGGTGAACGATCACAGTAAGTCTAGCTAACATCCATTACCACACATAGTTATAAATATGTTCTCTTGTGGTGAGATCTTTTAAGATCTATTCTCTTAGCAATTTTCAAATATACGATATGGTATCATTAACTATAATGACCACGCTGTATGTTACATCCCTGGGGCTTATTTTATTTTGACACCTTGAACCATTTTGTATAAGTAACTTTTCTTGATACATCAAAAAAGATAAGACCAAAAATGCTAGTGGAGAACTTTTTCTGATGTAAGGCATAATCTAATTTAATTTAAATATTCTCCACATGACTCCACCCTCTTGTTTAAAGATATTAGGCCAGGCAAACATTTGCAGGGGACCATACCTAGGGCCAGCTGCTGAGCAGGTGATGTCAGTGAGTAAATTGGGCTGGATGGAAAAGACAGGGCAATAGTTACACCACCACAAAAGACTCTCTGCCTCTTTGTGAAGGAGACAGACAGAAAGGGCCTTGGGGAACCAGCTACTACTCGATCCCCACCAGGGACCACCAGCAATGCAGGCCCAACTGCTACTACATCTTCCCATTTTTTTGAGAGAGAAATTTGGATTAATGTGAAGTCCCCTAATTTTTTTAATGTTGACAGTTTGTTCATAATTTCTAAAACACTGAGAGACAACAGAGTATATGCCAAATCAAACACATGTCTGGACCAGATGTGACTCAATACTGGCAATCTGCAACCTCTCACATACAACATACAAAGCAACCCCCCCCCATCCCTAAGGAACTTACAGTCCATGCGTTTATAATCAAGGCTCTCCCTTGCTTCCATATCAAGTGCTAATGCTGTTACAGATTTAAAGATCCTTCACTGCCTGGGCCCCCAGATTAATCCAATTTTTAGTGCATATTCCTGAAAACACTCAATTCTAATGAAAACACTGTCCTGCATCCGCATGATCATACCATTTTCATTTCCATCTCTGCCCCTTTGCTTAAGTTATTTTACGTTATTTCCCTATAATGGCTTCTCTTCTTCCTTCCATTCATCACATACAATCACATCCTCTCCACACCATTTTCCTCTATACTCTGGTGAATGTATCTTTTATTATCAATACCACAGTTTAGCATGTCGTCATACACTGCTGTTATTGTGAGTCAATTGTTTCATATATATTCATTATTTCAGGCTGGGGGAAAGGGGCAAGGTCTTGTTGGCCATTCATAAGATCCCATGTGTTTTAAGCAGGGTCACAGGTGCCCATACATACCATAAGATATAAAGGCATGTGGGACATCAGCCCCAAAACACACTGTGTTGTTTAAAATAAAACATAACAGCCACTCCTAGCTTGGCATTTCTTACAGTGGGAGGGAGAAGAGCTACCCAGGCTAAAATGGTCTAGTTAAGAAACAGTACAAAATTAGAACTGAAAACAGCAAACGAATGTTCACAACCTTGAATTCACCAGTCTACTCTATTTCCCTTTGGAGTCAAGTGAGTACCCACCTGGTACTAAACCTTACGTGGGGGGGTTTCTGGAAACTGGAAAGAGTCATACCAGACCCAGGGCAAACTCAGGTCCCAAACTGTAGTTCTCAGGAGACCATGGCATTTGTCTCTGTTCCATGAACCATTTTAACCCCAGACCAAACAGGACCCATACTCTTGCCAGTGAACTGACTCCAAGAGGAATCCCGAACCAACCCCTTGCCTGGACTCCTATGGCTATACATTTTCCTATACATTTCCTGAGTCCTCTATAACTGCCACCAGCAAACTTTGAGCCAGACAAATCCAGCCTGACCTCAGGACTCCAACACCCACCAAGTGTTTGAATTTGTCTGGCTGGGATATCGTCGTATTCATTCAGAAACACCTTGACTATGGACAAGTACCTACAACAACTAGAGAAGCTGGAGGTGGCAAGAAGAGG